CAACCCAATATACAACACCATGCACAGAGTGAATTCTATCCCATGAAATTCTAACTATGTGAAATACACCAACAACCCTGAGACACATTCTTAGTGAAGTGTCACTATGAATGTTGCCCATATGACAGGTCATAGCCCCCATACATAAGACATGATCCCGTGCAGGAGCTTTCCAATAGTCAGTTTCACCTTTTAAAAAAAATGTAGAGACTAATCTCACCCGACAAGTGGAAATGCTAAAGCTCAGAACTTCACTATTCATTATGTCTGGGACCTGCTTTGGTAAGGGGGAGGTGGGCTGTCCTGCTCCACCCCCCCACCGCCCAGATCCTGCTGATAGTCTGGGAGCCACCTTTCAGGAGGCTGCTTTTATTCCAGATAGGTGAGCATGAATCAATCTGACAGCATCATCCTTCCTTCCTTCATTTCACTGGACAGAACAGGCTGGGGAGGGGTGGCTATGATGTGCCGAGGATGCAGTTAGTTAGGGCAGGGTTGGTGGTGGCCCAGAAGCCTTTGTCCTTTTCTTCATACTCCTCGCCCAAATGGAGCTACTTGAGCTCCCAGGCAAAGATGAGGCGGGATTCTAGCTTCACCTCCTAAAGCTGAGAGGGGGCCAGGGGGTGGGAGTGAAGTGGGAAAGCAGAGCTCAAGGAGGCTGGGGGGTGTGGCCTTCTGGCTGGGCCCTGAACCCTCTTCCTTGAGCCTCACTGATTCTTACCAGCTGCGGATCCAGCTGTTTGAACCAATTTCTTACATTATCTGTTGAAACTTCCATCCCACAGGTGCCCCCCACACACAAAAAAGAAGGGAGCAGCGGTGACCACAGATAGAGCCTGAGGCTAGAAGTGGGCTGGTTTAGTTGGGCACTCTTCCTGAGCTCCTCAGAGAGTACCAGTATCTGTGCAAGATGCTGGCAGTCACCACAAACTGACACTCAATGACCAGTGTCCACTGAACTAGCAGGCTGGGGTCCCCTCGTGTACCAGACCAGAAAAGCACACAAAGAGTTGCAGGTTTGTTCTGGGCAGGTTCCTGATGCTCCCCTCTCCCTACACAGCTGTGGATCATGCCTGCCTTTGGGGCCCGGCCCCACTTCAGCAACACCGTGGAGGTGGACTTCTATGGCTACTCCCTCTGGGCAGCCATCGTCAACATCTGCCTGCCTTTCGGCATTTTCTACCGCATGCATGCTGTCTCCAGCCTGCTGGAGGTCTATGTGCTGTCCTGAGGCCTTGGACAAAGACATGGGGGCGAGGGTCATCTTGGCTCATGTGCCAGCTCAGTGACTCTCTGGGATTGAACCCCTGCCTGGCAGACATAGTGCCATATTACCAACATTGCCCACTGGCCCCAGAGTGGAATTTTCTCAAAAGTTTATTTTTCCAGGATGAGTTTTTAAATCACAATCAGGATATCCCCATCCACTCTAGCATAACACTAGGACCTGGGGTGACTTGGGAAGGGAAATCTTTCTCCAAAGCTTTCCTAGGACCTGGTAGGGTCTGGAAGTATGGGCTCTGGCTCTGTCCTGAACCCTAGTCACATGGCCTGGCCAGTGCACTGTCTGGAACTAGGAATCAATAAAACCTTGATTCACTTGTCCTCTCTTCTTGTCTCAGTGCTCCATCTGAGGTAGTCACGGAGAAGGACTTGGCAATCAGAACTGGAAAAGCCCAAAGATTTTTCAGGCTTCATGCTTTTCCATGAGTGAGCTGGGTCTGCATTGCACACTGTCTGTACAGTAGGTAAATGGGTGGTGACTGGGAGTGGATGTGTGGATGAAGTGTGGATGAAGTGCCCAAGCTGCCGCCTTCCTCCAGGTATCACACTCAGGTACTCATTTTTTTATGTGTCTCATGACATAACAAAAGTTAGGAAAGACTGATAGTCCAATGCTCACAATTTACAAAGAAGGAATCTGAGGCCCGGAGAGGTAAAATGACTTGCCCAAGGTTACACAGCCAGAGAGCCTGAGCCTTTCGACTAAGAATAATAGTCTTCAAATTTCTTAAAGAGTAGCAGAACTTTTTATTAATATATTTAAAAGTTGACACATCGTAATTTGTACGTAATTATGGAGTACAATGTGGCATTTCAGCCATGTATACAATGTGTCACAATCAGATTAGGGTAATTGGCATTTCTATCATCTCACCGCACAGATCATTTCTTTGTGTTGGGAGCATTCAAAATTTCTCTTCACAATTTGGAAATATCTGGTGAATTGCTGTCAATCATACTTACCCTACTGTGCTACAGGACACTGGGAGTCGTTCCTCCTCCTGTCCAATTACACCTTCATGCCCATTAACCATAACCAGCAGAACTTTTTACCATCAAAAAATATTTCAGGAATTTCAGAAACCCATAACATAGACACAAATATAGGACGACTCTATTAAAAACAGTTTGGGGAACTCAGATCCTTACCCCTGGGCCTCTCTCTCCCAACCCATCTCTGGGGTGGGGGTGGGGTCCATGAAGAGCTGCACCTTAGGGCTTCTTCGGTGCCAAAGGCAGAGTAATGGACTTGGAGGCAGGGAGACAGAGACAAAGGGCCCAGAGATGGGGCAGAAGCCTCCTCGAAGCCAGCCAGGGTGGTCGGCAGGAGGAGGGGCTAGGCAAGGAGCGGGGTGTGGACTGGGGTGGGAGCAGGGGGCATTTTGGGGGGCAGTTCGGGTATAGTGGGACATTAAGCCCAGGGGACATCAGAGGAAAACTGTCTAGACTCTGTCAGCAGCATGAGGTCTGCGGGATCAGAGGCCACAGGGAAAGCTGAGGCGGGGCGGAGGGAGCTGACTGCCTTCCTCCTTGTCAGGATGAGGCCTTAACCCCATCTCTTCAGTTCTGGTGATAAGATACAGGAAGGACGACCCCAGACCTGGAAGGGGGAAGGGGGCCCACTCCCAGCTCGGTTGCCAGAGGAAAGTGCGGCCTGAACCCCGGGCCTCAGGATATTGCACTTCCAATCCACTCCCCCTGAGGGCAGGCTGCCAGCGCAGAGCCAGTCCACCTGCCAGCGACCCTGCGCCCCTCCCAGTCACCCTGCGCCCCAGCACCGCTTCCGGCCCCGCCCGCCTGTCCAGCCTCCCCGCCATTGGCTGCTGGCTCTGGGCCCGAGTCCCGGCGGGGTAATTAACGAGGGATTAATGAGATTCCCAAAGTCAACAGAAAAATCGATGGGTCGTGGAGCCCGCGCGGCGGCTGCGCAGTCCCGTGGGGGGAGGGCGTCGGGGGCATCGGTCGGGGGCGCTGGAGCCTCACCTGGACTGACGGACTGCGCAGCGCTCAGCTGGTGGTCAGCCCGCCGCAGTGCCCTCCCAGGCCTCAGGTAAGGCTCCCTGCGCCGCCGCTTGGACCTGGAGCGGTCTCGGACCGCAGGGAGAACATTCCCACGAACCTACCCTCACACACACACACACACACACACACACACACACACACACACACACAAACACTGCTTCTAAAGCAGGGAATCAGGAGCTAGGGGGATGCAGGGACTAAAGGTAGAGAGCAGAAGACCGGCAAGGGGTCAACTCCTTTACTCCGGTGCCTCGCCCCTTCTCTGCTCCCACCCCCTCGGGCTCTGCTCACCTCCATTCCACGGACTGGGGGCGCACAGAGGTCAGCAGGACCCACCCCGTCCCGGCCAGATCCACACAGCTGAAAGGGGGCGCCGAGCGCGGAAGAAGCGAGAAACCTGGTTAAAGGGGTAATGGGGCTGGGGCTGCCTGGATGCCTGGCCTGGTCCTGCAGCCCCTCAGGTGGCTCGGATCCTGAACCTGCTCTGCCTTCGCTCAGCAGCCTCCGCACCGGCTGGTTCTGCGCTCCCAGACGCGCCCTGAGCCCCGACGGCACCTCGGCTTTCATCGCCCGCCTCCGACCTCGATCCATAAACCAGTTTGTGTCCCGGCCCTCCCTGGGGCTGGCGACCAGAAGAGCGAAGAGCGGCAGGGCGTGCCAGGGGAGGCGGCCTCCTTGTGTGTCAGGCGCATTCTCCCCCAGCCCTCTCCCGAGACCCCCCGGAGTACCCACTCCGACCCCAGCCCGCGGTGAACCTAAGTCACTCCTTTGGTAGCTCCCTTTACCGATTATGGTTGCACCTCGGAGGTGGAAAAGTCAAGAAAACTGTCAGAGAGCAATGAGAGGACCTGGAACCTTGCTCCAGTGTCCCCTCTAGCCCTGCAATCTGACAAAAATCGTCCCTGGAATTCACCAATAACCCCTACCCTTCCCTCCTCTCCAGGACCTCCTATGAACACGAATAGGCAACACGGGCTGCTCTATACACTTGTACGTGTTAAATCATATAAATCTGACAACACCCTATAAGGCAGGTATCATGGATTAACTCATGTATTTGTTCAAGAAATGACCAAGCATCTCCTAGCACTAGGTAGTACCATTCCATAGTTGTATATTTGTTTACAGCACTGAGTGAGGCACTGAGTCTCAGTAGCTTGTCACGAAAGTACTGTATTACAGTAAATGCCAGAAGCAGGGCTCTCCACCATTAGGGTAGCCTGCTTGGCGGGTGGGGCAGGGACAGGTTCTGGGGAAGGCGACGTGGAGCCGCTGGACTGGCAGAAAAGGAGCAAAGAGGTGTCCCTCTGAGCCTGGCCTTTCTCAATCTGAGCGAAGAAAAAGATAACGATTTCCTGGAAAACTCCTCGGCCTCCCCCGGATGGAAGGGGTTAATAGCGAGGGGCTCTGTCCACCGCTCTGGTGCTGAAAGTTCCTCAGGGACCGCCGTAGTCAATGAGCAAATATAGGAAATATAGGAACAGAATCGTCCTGCCAGTGCTAGATTTCCGGGGTTCGAGTTAATCAGGACCGGATCTCTGCCTGTGGGAACTCCAGACTTTAAGAGGAGCCAGCCGCACCCACAGTAAGCCTGACAGCACACACCCGCTCTCAGCAGGGAGGAGTGGCCCCAGCAAAGTAATCACTTCGTGCTTCAGCAGAGAAGGAAGGCTTCCCTGGGGGTGAATGGGATGGCAAGGTCATCGGAGGGAAATGACGGCTGAGGGAGAAGGGAGAGTAAGGCTGGCAGGAGCCAGGAGACCACAGGGGAAATGTGGAGCCCTCTCTTGGGTCTGGATGGATGTGGGGGGCAGGAGCCCAGAGTGTGGCCAGGGGCCCGAAACAGGAGGAAGTGGAATTTGCCCCAGGATGGCAAGGTAAAGTGGGAAAGGGGTGAAAATCATTTGTAAAATCTCAAAAAGAGGGCCAAGGTTTAGTATTCCTTTTGCTACAGGAGAAGAGCAGAAGGTGCACATATTGCTCAGGATGTATATGTGGGAGAGGGGGAATCCAGAGAAGACATTTAAGAGCCCAGTGTGACAGTGGGCTTCTGGTAATTGAGTAAAGTTCAAAGCTCAGGGTCTTCAGGGAGGGACAGAACAAAGCACAGCTAATTAAGATAGAGCCTGCTGGGTGATACACCAGAAGTGGGGGAGGGTAAGTGAGGGCCAATAGGGGACCCTCACCCAGGCTGGGCAGGGCAGTTAGGGAGTCACTAAGCCTGCTAAATCATCTCTGCTGAGTCCTGAAGGACACGCTAGAGTCACCAAGGGACAAGAAGGGTGGACATTCAAGTCAAAAATGGGGGTGTGGGCAGAAATGTAGGTGAGCAAAAGCAGAGGGCACTCTGGGAGCTGCATCAGGATGGCACAGCTGGGGAGGGGAGTGGAGCCTGGATACTACATTGGGGAGGTAAATCAAGGCCAGTCCAGGAGGTAGCAGCAGCCATCCTGCCCTAAGTGCTGTATGGACCAGGTCCTTGCATACATGTCCATCTTGTTTCATCCTGAAAGACCACACAGGCCACACAGCAGGTGTTTGGACTTATTTATACTAAGGATAGCTGGTTGTCTTTGCAGAGCTCTCAGGAGGAAACAGACATCATGGGGAGGGATTTCAGTCCAGGAGAGAGCAGAGGGAGCCCTGACTAGTGTTATGGCTGGGGTTGAAAAAAAAAATCTAAGAGCAGGGCCAGGGATTTAGCTCAGTGGTTTCACCACCTGCTGCGCAAGCCCAAGGACCTGAGTTCAATCCCCAGTACCAAAAAAAAAATCTAAGAGCAGGGCCAGGGATTTAGCTCAGTGGTTTCACCACCTGCTGCGCAAGCCCAAGGACCTGAGTTCAATCCCCAGTACCAAAAAAAAAATCTAAGAGCAGTTTGGGAGCTGGAATGGACAGGCTTGGGCCTGAGGAGATGCAAAGGACAAAGGGAGAGGTGAGGTGGGTATTTGGTCCTCTGTCTGGAGAATGGGCAGTGAGCGCATGGAGCCCTGAGCCCTAGGGTGGCAGGGACACTCAAGGGAGCCTCTCCTGCAGAAGAGCACACAGAAGCAGTGGCACAGTCTTGCAGCTCAATTCTGCTGGGAAGGAAAAGCAGCCAAAGGAGCCCAGACAGGACAGTGCTGTACTCGGAGCTGCGGGTGCTGGGTGGCCCCAGATCTGGCCTAAGCAAGTAGTGATAGAGTGATTGGCCTGAGTGAAAGCTTGGGGAGTGGGGGTGAAGAGGTGGCAGGAAATATGCAGGGAAAGAAGGGGGTCAAGGATAGTGTCTCCACAGTGTGCTGGCCATTCATGGGACATCTGGGGGTGGGTAGGGCCAAATGGAAGTTACCTCTGTTAAGGTGGAAGGCGTAGTATCAGCAATGATCCCTACCTGCCTCATATACTTTGCAAGTCAATCCCAGAACTTTCTCCCTTAACTTTTAATGTGCTTTAAAATTAATTTTAGTTACATAAATTATGCTACTTTAAAAAATACTGGAACATTAAACTTAAAGGGAATCTACCGCTTCCAGCCTAGTCTCCATCATCCCTTCCCCTGAAGAAAATCCCGCTGTAAATCCAGCAGGTATCTTCTAGACCCTTCAAAAGTAATTTTATTTTTTAAAAAGTAATTTTGTAGGGCTGGGGATTTAGCTCAGGGGTTTCGCTGCCTGCTGCACAAGCTCAAGGACCCGATTTTGATCCCCGGTACCAAAAAAAAGTAATTTTACAGACACCTTATGTAGCTATAATAGAGATCACAGCATTCTTCCTCACCAGGCCCAGACTCAATCTCAGAATCCTGCTCAACACCACACTGTAGGCAACCATAACCCATCCAGTTAGAGTTGGAGAAGATGCAACCTGACTTCCCCAATTTCAGGAGTGAAATTCCTCCCAAAAGTCAGCAGGATAACAAGCTGCCTTTTGTTCATGAAAAGCCCCAGTTTCCAGGCACTAGAAAATGCCCCTGACTCCCTTGACTGACATGACATCATTGTCCCACCTTGGAATTAGGGCCTGAGTCATTACCAAGCCGAGTGGCCCAACTGAGAGTGGGATAGGGCAAGTGGTCCTCCAGTTGTTGAATCAATTCCTTACATCTGTGTGCAGAACTGTCTTTGATAATGCCACTTCCTTGGGGCCTGTGAGGTAGGTTGTGTAGCTGCTATTATTTCCAACATCCCAACTAGACACATTGGATAGCTTACCTAGGTTATACAGCTGTTAGGGACAAAGGTAGAATCAAACCTGGTTCAACCTGGCAGCCACCTTAGAGCCTTTTTCTCTCTCTAGGGCCTGCTGAGGCTCCACCCATGGCCTCTCTCGAAACACAGGAGACTGAAGCAACCCCAGCCAAGGAAGACCAAATGGACTTGGGGGCCAAGGAGACAGGGTACCCAGGCCCACCACGGCAGCGGTCCTGGCTGGGATGCCATTGCTCCCTGTTGCTGAGGCGAGACCAGCAGGCCCAGAAGGCTGGGCAGCTCTTCTCAGGGCTCCTGGCCCTCAATGTGGTGTTCCTGGGTGGAGCCTTCATCGGCAGCATGATCTTCAACAATGTGTCCATCACTCTGGGTGATGTGTGGATCTTGCTGGCTGCACTGAAGACACTGTCCCTTCTGTGGCTCCTGTACTACATGGTGGGCACCACACGGCAGCCTCACGCAGTGCTCCATCGCGACCCTCATGCAGGACCCGTCTGGGTGCGGGGTGAGTACCAGGGTGCCCAATGGAGGGAGAGAACCAGGGGGGACCACTGGCTCCAAAGAGGGGTGCCAATCCCTGCCTGGCCCAGCCAGGCTCTCTGGTGCTCTTCGGCAGCTGCACCATCTGCCTCAACGTCTTCCGCATCGGCTATGACGTGAGCCACAGCCACTGCAAGTCACAGCTGGAGCTCGTCTTCCCAGCCATTGAGATCATCTTCATGGGCTTCCAGGTAACAGACCTCTGCCATGTTCGGGCCACCAGGGACACACTCTACCACCCAGGCCCCTGCATGCACATCCCTACCTGTGCCAGAAGCAGCCATAAGGCAACACCTCTGTGCCCTGGTGTGTAGACACACGTGCTGTGGCCCTTGAACGGTTGCTGTCTCCTGTGTGCCTGCATCCACACACACCTATGTGTGCTTGCATCAACACACACCACACACCGTGACTCCCAGATGTATACATCTATAAATAGGCCTACCTGATCATGTATCTAAACATGCACTAAACATGTACCTGATATACAACCCGGGTACACAAATCTCTTCATCACAATAATGTCCAGCTCTCTCTCAAGTTTCTGCTATGCACCAGCCCATGTCAGGTGCTATATTTGTATGATCTTTATTTCCCCTACCAAGTAAGCATTTTCCCCAAGCAGTGGGTACTTTGGCCCCCTCTGCAGAGCTGAGACCACTAAAATTTAGAGATATTTGGCCACTGGCCTAATGTCACACAGCAAAGAAATGGAAGAGCTGGGATTCCAACCTGGGCTCCCTCACTGTCCCTTCCATGGTAAATACACAAGCAACACCCACCATGGTCCCACCACTCTCACCAGCCCCTGGATTCAAGGCCCTGTTTCTTTCAGACCTGGGTGCTCTGGAAACATTGTAAGGACTGTGTTCAAATCCAGACCAACCTCACTAGGTAAGTCTTCTCTCCCACCAAAACCTCCCAGGGTTCTCAGTGCCTCCACAGCTTCCTGGGAAGGGGAGTCTTGGGGCTTTGGATTAGTCTGGGATTCATCTCAGGTGGCCTCTAGGGCAGCCTCTCCTGAAGCCCTAATGGGATTTTCCTTTGGGACCAAGTGTTCACCCCACCAGCAGTCAGTGGTGAGGACCTGGCACCCAGAGAGTCAGCCAGGCCGAGTGAGCAGAGCATGATCCTCCCTCTAGGTGTGGCTTGATGCTGACCCTGGCCACAAACCTGCTGCTGTGGGTTCTGGCTGTGACCAATGATTCCATGCACCATGAGATCGAGGCTGAGCTCAGCGCCATCATGGAGAAGTTCTCAGGTACAGAGGGGACCAGACCTCCCCCCAAAAACACACACACACAAACACACACACACACACACACACACGCACACTAGACCACTACACTCCCACAAGCTGGTGAGGTTTGGGGAGCTATAGAGTTGGGAGCAGACAGATAGCAAACCAAAAACTGCAGTTTATCCAGGGTATGTTTCAAACTCCAAGAGAGGTTGGCATCCTGTAGCCCTGATCCCAGCAGCCCTGTGGCTGTCACCAAGCTAACCACTAATCCTGGTTGAGCTGGTCACTGAGAAGTCCTTCAGGTATGTGCCCCACCTATGGTATTTGCATTTTACTTGTAAGGAACGCAACACGCTTCATGGCTGAAAGGAATGTTTCTCTAATACAAATGTAGGCAGGCCTGGGCATATCAGGCAGGGCAGAAGATTTGTAGGCAGAAAAAACTCTCTAGATTGTCCTATCCGACCAATTCTCAGCCTGTATGGTCTTCCCTCACAAGCTCCATCCCATAAGCCCAGATGGGAACCTTGCAATCTGTGGGATTCAGCCACACCTGTGGGTCTACTCCCCACCCCACCCACAGGTAGCATCAAGACCTGGTGCAGCCAAGCCCTCCCAACACACATGCATTTATACACCTTTCCACAAATTGTGCCATGTGTATGTGCTGTGGCCACTCCTTATGCTCTGTTTTTTTCAAAAAACTATTTAAAGGGTCCTTGCGCTTGTGCAGCAGGCGGTGAAACCACTGAGCTAAATCTCCAGCCCCCAAAAAATTTTTTTTAAATAAACTATTTAAAGGGAATTTTGGGCAAGTGACATCATGGTTTTTTTTTTTTAATCAAAAAAGCTCAAATGTACAGATGAGTTGAAGAACAGAAAATAGCCATCATCTGGATGTAATAAAGATTAACATTTTGCCACATTTATTTTAATTTTTTGCTAAGTAAGTTTTGGAAATCATGGCATTTAATCTCAAAACATTTCAGTATGCATTTTTTTTTTTTGGTACTGGGAATTGAACTCAGGGCCTCAAGCTTGCCAGGCAGGTACTGTACTGCTGAGCTACATCCCAGGCCCCAGTATGCATCTCTTAAAAAATGAATGTTGCCAGGCATGCTGGCATGTGCCTATATTCCCAGAACCTTCTGAAGCAGGACGATTGCCACAGGTTCAAGGCCAGCTTGGGCTACATAATGAGAGGCCAGCCTGAACTACATAGCAAGACCCCATCTCAAAAAAAAAAAGTATAATTCCCTACATTACCATATGATCTTTTAACTGCTAACAAAATTCCTTAACATCACTCCAATTTTCTATATTCCACTTTCTCCAGTGAGTCCAGGAAATGTCTTCTGCAGATGGTTGGTTCAAGCATGCAACATGTTTACTTAAAACTATTAGGTCTCTTTTTCCCTACTGACATTGAGATTTGTCTAGTTGCTTCTTAGTGGTAGCATTTAACTTGTTCCTCTGCCCCCTGTTCTTCCAACAAATTGAAAGAAAGGAGCAAAGGGTCAATTAAATTCAGATTAGACATTTTGGTGTCTGCATTTCCCTGGTGATGCCATGTACTTTTAAAGTCAGCTGGGCCTCACTACCCCGGTGTCCTCAGCTGTGGCAGCCAGATCCTCCACTGTACATGACAGGTGTCCCCTGCCCAGCAAGTGATTTGTGGTCATGACATTCGGCACCAGGGACATAACGTTTTAACTGCTTTATGTAACCTTGGTACCTGAAGTCTTGAATCCCTACGTAAAAAAATGATAAAAAAAAAAAAAAAGAATGATCATTCTGTGATTTCCAATTTCTATGTCCGGGCCACAGATGTTTCCACATCTGTAAAATGAGCACCTGGCTTGATCCCTCCCACCTCTCGAAAGTTTGGGTGGGGGTAGGAGTGGTTGGTGCTGCTGGGTTTTCTCAGAACAAGGCCACTGAAAGTGGCCTCCTGCTCTGCCCACTCCCAGGCAATGGGACCAACACCTGTCTGTGCCTCAACGCCACAGCGTGCGAGGTCTTCCAGAAGGGCTACCTGATGCTCTACCCCTTCAGCACTGAGTACTGCCTCATCTGTTGCGCTGTGCTCTTCGTCATGTGGAAGAATGTGGGCCGCCACCTGGTAGCCCACGTGGGCACCCACCCCAACTCCCCACCCTTCCGCCTGCACGGCGCCATCTTTGGGCCGCTACTGGGCCTGCTGGCACTGGTGGCGGGCGTGTGCATCTTCGTGCTCTTCCAGATCGAGGCGAGCGGCCCCAACATTGCCCGCCAGTACTTTACCCTCTATTACGCCTTCTACGTGGCCGTGCTGCCAGTCATGAGCCTGGCGTGTCTGGCGGGCATGGCTATCCACGGGCTGGAGGAGCGTGAGCTGGACACACTCAAGAACCCGACCCGAAGCCTGGACGTGGTGCTGCTGATGGGCGCCGCGCTCGGCCAGATGGGCATCGCCTACTTTTCTATCGTGGCCATCGTGGCCACTCACCCCAACGAGCTGCTCAACCAGCTCATCCTGGCCTACTCCCTGCTGCTCATCCTCCAGCACATCACCCAGAACCTCTTCATCATCGAGGGCCTGCACCGCCGCCCGCTGTGGGAGGTGGCTCCCCAGGGCCTGGCGGGGAAGCCAGAGGCCGAGCACTCCCGCAGGGGCTCCCTGCTGGAGCTGGGCCAGGACCTGCGAAGGGCCTCACTGGCCTACATCCACTCCTACAGCCACCTCAACTGGAAGCGGCGTGTGCTCAAGGAAATCTCACTCTTCCTCATCCTCTGCAACATCACAGTGAGTGGTGGGGGCTGGGCCAGCCGGGGAGGGGCACACCTAAGTGGACCTCACTCAGGGAGGAGAGGATCAAGTTCACATGCCTCTTTCCACCTAGCTCGGTGCTGCTTGAGAGCAGGAAGTGCCCCCCCCCAAGCGGCCTGGCATGAATAAAAGTGCCAAGCACATAGCTGAGTGCTCCTCCCAAACAAATAAGATTTCCACCCTCCACAGCCACTGTCTAGCTGCCAAGGCACCTGTTAGAGAATCACCACTGAATTTTTCCACTGAATTTGATCAGAAGAAGAGATCAGAAGGTGCGTAGTTTTCTAAACAATCCTAGTGAAAAATGGCGATCGCTTAGCTCCCAGTGGCTATAACAACAGGCACTGTTACTGTCCCCACTGGACAGAAGAGGAAACTGAGGCTTAGGAGTTGTTTGGCCCAATATTCCACAGTCTGTGAATGGCAGTGTTGTGACAACTCAGAGTTGTTTGACTCCAAACCCCTAATACACTGAAAATACAAGTGAGACCCAAGGTCCAGGCAGGGAAGTAATAAATTGGTCCAAAGTGCACTAGGAGCTCAGAAAAGTGTGAGCCCACATGGCCAAGGCAGGAATCTGGAAGGTTTGATCTGGGCCTACAGGATGGACAGAAGTTGGACAGGAAGGCAGAAGGGGACAGGGTGGGGCTGTAACTAGCACGAGGGGGAGGCCTGATCTCTGGGCCCCAGGGAGCACAGCTGGGCAGAGCAGCTTGCTGGCTGGGAATTCTCGCCACACACCATGGGTGGAGGCAGCCTGGGGGGCTCCTGCTCCATCCGGAGCTCAGGCTGTCCCAAGCACACCAGGGAGGCGGCTGAGGCTTCTGCAATGTGGGGCACAGAAGACGTGGGCCGAGAGGAGCTTGCCCTGAAAGCCCAAGATGATGAGGCTGGAGTGACGCTGGAGGACCACAGGTTCTGGGGCCTGTCTGCCCTGAGCTGAGTGCCTTGGGGCAGCAGGTAGCACCCTCTCTACTCACCCCCTTCTCTCCCACCCCGCAGCTGTGGATGATGCCTGCGTTTGGCATCCACCCGGAGTTCGAAAATGGCCTGGAGAAGGAATTCTATGGCTACCGGACATGGTTCACCATTGTCAACTTCGGCCTGCCTCTGGGCGTGTTCTACCGCATGCATTCTGTTGGGGGGCTGGTAGAGGTCTACTTGGGGGCCTGAGCTCTCCAAGAAATCACCCTCATGGAACTCCAAAGGGCCAAAGGAAGATGGTGGCCCAAGGCTCTGTGCAGATGGCTTATTCCAAGAGGTGCAGAGGCCCCCCAAAGCCTCCCCCTTCCTGAGAGAGGGAGACACTGCCAGTAGCCCAAGAGCAAGGCCAGGGCATCGATACAGCTTTGGATGCCCACTCCCAGGCCTGGGCTCATGCCTGCCCCCGCCTTACCACCACAGTGTGTGCGGCACAGGCTGACCTCAGGAGGCTGTCAAGGGCTCCACTACTCTCAGGAAGGGTCAGACCTAAATGATGGAATCCAAGGGTGCAGGAGAGCGCACCCCTCCCCATCCAGGCCTCAGGGCCTGCCTCCTGCGAGGGCCATGTAGTCCAAGCTTGGCCCAGGATGTCCAGGGAGCTCAGAGTCCTGCAGGCAGCCCTGCCCCTCTCTCCCCACACACCCATCTTCTAATGAGCTCATTAATTAGCTGCCAGGCAGGGCTCAACAGCTCTCTCTTGCTACCATAAACACTGTTTGTTTGATCGATTGCATTCAGGCTTTGTGGCATTTGTTCCCAGGAATAGATGTGACACTCCAGGCACAGTGGGAAGGATGGTTGTCCTGGGTAGGGCTGTGGCCTGGGACGGTCCCATTCCTAGGTCAGGAAGGGCCTAAACCAGTCCCTTCTTTGATCCATGAGTCAGTGGGAAGAGCTGGGCTGGGGCTCCTGCAGTCCTCACCTCCCCCGCTGAACACCACCCTTTCTCTGGGACAGAGCCTTGGGGAACTTTCTGTAGCCGGGTCACCGGTGGTGGTGAGTGCCAGCCCTGACTGATTCTCTAAGCCCTGGGGTGGAGCACGAAGGTGACAAGCCAGCCGATGACAGCCCATCCATCTCCCTGAGCCCAGTGCAAACAGCAGAATGTAGAGAGGGAGCTTTATTGTGTAAGTGGCCGATTGTACGGAGCAAAGATTGTACTGACAAAGGTGGGGTGAGGGAGACCCAGAGCCCAGGGCTGGGGCAGATGGAGGGGCGGCAACACGCTCCCCCTCATCAGGAACAGCTGCCCCCAGGGCCCCTCATCACCCAGGCTCTATTCACTGTCCTGGGGGTATAGCAGGGTGCCCTGTGCCCACTCCAACCCCTAGAATACATGGGCCCCACCATGTATTTGTATCTCCCAGAGCTGAGCAGCCAGACCACGCTCCTTCCTCCCACCTCCCATTGGGGGTAGAAGAGGCAGGTTTAGGCCAGGAGGCCTGGAGGGCTCCCCCACCCTGCCTAGGTACCTCACGGGATAGCCCCTGGCTCCTTCTTGGACAAACTCTTTAGGACCCAGTGACCTGTGGCTTCTGGGGGTGGGCAGCACAGGAGCAGGTGGGCATGGAGGGCAGTGTCACAGAAATGGGTCCTGAAAGGGGAGCCAGGGTGGGAAGGGGGCTCTGGCAGGGCCTATGCCCCTGGAGAAGAGCCCCCTAGGAGGCCAGCCTGGGGGTGAGGGGGTCAGAGCAGGTCCCCATGGTCTCCAGTCACAAGGGGCTTCTGAGACCTGCCACCCAGGACCCAATCACTCTGCCTGCCCAGACCCCAGTGGGACTCATGTAAAGCTCAGAACAAGGGGGCATGGAGCATCGGGGAGCAGGGCCCCAGCCATCCCAGGCCCTGCTGGCTTCCTGCTCACACCCGCTGGATCTCAAAGAGCTTGACATCAGTGTCGTACCAGATGGGCGGGTCCACATTCCTGCAGAGGGAGTAGAAAAGGTCCTGGGAGGAGCTGGGTGGTGGCAGCAAAGCCCAAATCAACCTCTCCCATCCCGATGTCCCAACCTGAGCAGTGAGTGCCCACCCTCCACCAGGCACCTTGATCGACTGCCTTGATGTTCACCCCATTATGGATCGGGGTGGGGCGGGGAGGCAAACTGAGGTCCCTGTTGAACACAGCCCCAACCTGGACTGTCACCGGCCACCCCCACAAGGCCCACCTCAGATAGATGACGCCCCACATGTAGGTGCGGAACCACATGGCGGTGCCAGAGTTGGCCTGGTACTTTCGGATGAGGATGGGGTGGGGCACAGGCAGCAGCCCCACCAGCGTGCCGTGCTGCAGAAACCTCAGGATCTCCGACTCATCTGTCAGGCCCCTGTGAGAAATGGAGGTCTCCAGTGTCCCTGTCACCTCCCACCCAAGCCTAGGCGGGCCCCTCCTCAGAGCCCTGAAGGGGCCTGGTCCTGACTCACTTGTCGATGCAAATCTTCTCCACCTGGGGCACCAGCACCTGCAGCAGCCTCATGATGGTCTGCAGTGGCAGCTTCGACTTCCAGGAGAGGATCTGGGGAGGAAGCCCCCAGGGCTATGGGACACTTCTGGCCTTGACCTGGGCCAGGGGCTCTGCATAGCTCGGCCTGCACCCAGCAGGGCTGTAAACAGCCACTGTTGCTAACTGGGAGGGCCATGGGCGCCTGGAGCAGTACTGCAGGCCATGCGCCTTCAGACCCCTCTGTTACCTAGAACAGCGTGGCCAGGCAGGACGTTATCACCCCTGTTCCAGTGTAATCCGGAAACAGGGAGGGGGCAGCGGTTCAGAGAAGGAAACCAGAAAGAGTGATTTATTAGGGAAGCCAGTGCTATGGGCAACAGGGATTTGGTGCTGCCAGGGAACTGAGCAGATGGTGTAGACAGAAGAAGCTGATCCAAGACAGGCCAAACATGAGAGGGAGCAATGCGCAGCTGGAAGAACTAGCCTGGAGCCCGGCTCTCATACCAGAGGCCTCTGCTGGACACACTGCCAGCCGCATCTGTACTGACCGAGCCCTTCTAAGGGCCAGGCAGCTGGACCCAGGCCCCAACTCTGTGTCATCAGCCAAACCCCAGTCCCTGGCTCCTGGGAGAGGGGCCTCACCCAATCCGTTGTTGGGATCCACTGACCGCTGGCCGATGCACTGGATAGCCGCCGTTGTTCCCTCCATGCCTGGTCAGGCTCCTGGTGCCCAGGAAGGAAGGGAAATGAGGAGGGAGAGAGTGGGTGCAGGGCAGGGCAGAGGGCAGTGAGCTCTCTCCAGCGGCCCCCATGGGAAACGCTCACTTCCAACAGAGGGACAGGCCCAGCCCGGCACCCTTTGCCCTGGGCCCCAGGCCTAGCCCGGCCCAGCCTAGTGACAGGTTTAGGGCCAGGGGCTGACAGGGCAGTCTGGGTAAAGGCCAGCCGCAGCTCAGATAAGGCTGATGGATGAGGAGCCGAAGGCCACGGACTTTGCCGTGCCCAGTAAACAAGGAAGGGTCTGTGAACCCCCACCGCCACAGCAGCGCCAACCCTGCTGTCCTGGGCCTTGGCACCTGTCCTTCTGCTGCAAGTGACCTCAGAGTGCCCTGGCCCAGCCCGAGTCACAGAGGCCAGGGAGGAAAGCACGACCCTCCCTCGAGGGCCCCACATCCCATTACCCACCCCCTCAGCCGGGCTGCCTTCTGCCGAGCTCTGCTGGGGCTCAGGTTCCAGGGACCGCAAGGTGCCATCTTCAGACACCTGGGACTTCTCCGTCAGCTTGTCAATGCCTGGGTGAGGCACACGAGGGACACAGGCAGGAGAGAGGGCCAAGGCCCATGGTGCCCCTTCTGGCCTGGCCCCTGAGGCTGCTTGTCCTCCACCCACTGTAGAAGCTCTGTGTCCCATCTCCCTTGCCCAGCCCTGCGCCCATCTGTCCCAGAGCCCTGAGGCCCTGTCCCCACCAAACTCCCATTCCTGGGTCCCCAATTCCACCACCCCTGCTCCTCTTGCCTACCCCCAACACAAGCCACACTCTCTCAAGACACCGTGCCGGTGCCCCAGCCCTGCCGGGAGCCACATCCTCTCCCACCAGCCAGTGCCAAACCTGGGGTAGCCACCAGGCTGGTCTTGAGGGTGCCTGGCTCCGCAGGGGCAGCAGGGCGGGAGCCCTCCATGGAGCCGCCCTCCTGGGAGCCAGTGCGGGACAGGGGCTCTGGTGTCCGCCGGCGGCGCTGTAGGGCCTTGTGGATGGCAGGTGGATCTGTGGGCAGATTGGCCAGCTGGTGGAAGACACTGCGCTTGCGGATGATGGCATATACCAGGTTGGAGTTGCCTGGGGAAGGGAGCGCACTTCCACTCAGGGGAGACTTGCCTCCCCCGACTCTGGGCTGGCCCCCTGCAGCACAGGAAGGTGTCTCCCCCAGGGGAAGAGATGATACGGGGAACCCAGGAGAGGGAGCCAGACAGGGGTGGCACAGCTGTGTGTGGCAGCTGTGGGAAAACAGCTTCTGGCCCGAGCACTCCTCTCCTGGTTCTTCAATCCCGAGCTTGGCACGGGAGCACATGCCAGTAATCTGAGTATTTGGAAGGCTCAGGCAGGAAGATCACCAGGAGTTCGAGGCCAGCCTGGGCTACGTAGTGAGTTCAAGGCTAGCCTGAATTATGTAGCAAGACCTTGTCTTGAAAAAGCAAAGCAAACAAACAAAAAGACTTGACAACTCAGCACTAAAGGAGCCGGGCATGGTGGTGCCTTCTGGGAGGCTGAGGCAGAAGGATCACAAGTTCAAGCTCAGCCCGGGCAATTTAATGACTTTGTGAAACCCTGTTTCCAAATTTTTAAAATTAATTAATTAATTCAAAAGGGGTGGGCATGTAGTTCAATGTGAAGGCCCTGGATTCAATACCCAGCACTGCCAAAAAAACCCACAAAAAGCAAACCCTGGTACAGTGGGGCAGGACCAGCCCATCACTGTCCACATTGCCAGCTCTTAAATACTTTAACCTATTCCCTGAACCAGGAGAAGTCCAGGAGGCCACCATGGTGTGTACCTGTCCTCTGTCACCCACCTCCAAGTTCCCATGACTCCCAGGAGAAGATGGAAATGTTTTTCTGGTCTTCAGTGCACTGTGCACTTCTCTGGTCCTGATTTACACTACATTGATCTGCTTTCAACTCAACATCTCACCCCAGGCCCTTTGCACATGCACATACCATCCTCTCCCACAATGCTTTTCTGCTCCCATTACACCCATGAATCCTTCTTAGATCAGTGAAAACAAATTTTTTGGCAGTACTGGAGCTCAAACCCAGGGGCTCTACCGCTGAGCTACATCCGCAGTCCTTCTAATTTTTTATTTCTGAGACAGGGTCTCACTAAGTTGCCCAGGTGGGACTCAAACTTCTGATCCTCCTTCCTTAGCTTCTGTCAGTGCTGGGATTACAAGTATGCATCACTGCATTCAGCTTATTTTGTTTTTGTTTTGTTTTGTTTTGCTTGTTTGTTTTTTGGTACCGGGGATCAAACTCAGGACCTTGCGCTTGCGAGGCAGGCACCTGAACTACTGAGCTAAATCCCCAGCCCAGCTTATTTTAGAATAGAAACAATTCCTTATATTTGAGTTGCCAGACACTGTGCTATTTTGTGGGTTATTTTACTTCATCCTTCGCCCAACACCCTCTGGGATAGGGACTCTTAGCACTGTAGTTTGACCGTCTGTAGTTTGACAGGTGAGTAAAGTGAGGCCCAGAGAAGTAAAGTAACAAACATGCAGTCACAGAGGTAACGAGAGGCAAGGCCTGAATCCACACTGGGCAGCCGGTGTCTGCGACACTGGGAAGGACAGCGCCCGCCACTCTGAGCTTGCCGGCCACCAGCCTGCAGGGGGCCCTCTGCCCAGGCCATTCTGTTTAAAGCTCCCCCGTCCTCCCTCCCCAACTATCGCTGCTCCCCGCAGTATCCCCTTCACCCAGGCACACAGCACCTGCACGTCGAGTAGGGGCAGCAGGCCCACTGGGGAGCACCCTCCGAAGCCAGTTCCTGGGCTGCTGGCCCCTTAGGCAATGTCCATGGGCCATCCTGGTCCCTGCCTCACCGTCAAACTGGTACTGGATGATGTTGTTGAAGACCTCCAGGAGGAAGAAGACCAGGTGGTGGTTCTGGGCAGCTGAGAAGAGGAACCAGGTGGTGGAGAAGGCCTCCAGCAGGTGCAGCAGCTTGTTGGCGGTCACCATGGACAGGCTCTTGAGGTAGGGTGACACTGCAAGGGAGAGGTCAGCTCACAGCCCAGGCCTGGGCAGAACAGCACGCTCCTCCCAGCCCCTCCTGGCCCTGCCTGTGAAGCCCCCACAAGCCAGAAGACCCCAGCGGCCAAGTTCACTCTGTCTGCCCCTCCTGCAGAGCCCTGAAGGTAGTGCGCTCCTCCCTCACCTCTGGCTGTGTGAACAGCAGGGTTTTTGTGTCTGTTTGTTTCTGGTACTGAGGTTTGAAGTCAAGGCCTCTCCATTGAGCGACATCCCCAACCTTGCGCTTGCGCAGCAGGCAGTGAAACCACTGAGCTAAATCCCTGGACCCCAACCTCTTTTTTATTTTTTCTTTGGAGACAGGGTCTTGCTAAGTCACTAAGTTGTCCAGGCTGGACTCCAACTTGCAATCTTCCTGCCTCAGCCTCCCAGAGTGGTGAGATTACAAGTGGGCACTACCACACCCAACTGGCAGCAGTCCTTTTCACAAAGTCATATATAGCATCTCCCGCCCAGTCCTCCTCCACCTATGAGGAAGGAAGGGCCTGGATAAGATTGTCCCCATCTTGCAGACAAGGAAACTAAGGCTCAGGGAGGGTTAGACACCTAGGCCAAGTTCCTTAGGAATAAAACATTTGGGCAGGGATACAAACTCGGGCCTGCAAGTTGTTCTGGGGCAATAGCGGCGAACCTATGGCACTCGTGCCATAGCCAGCTGTTGGCTAGCATTGAAAACTCTAAAACGTTTGCCATCACTGGTTTAGGGTGTCAAGCTGCTGTAGCATTAGGTAGGCATTTTGGGCACAGCTGTGGGGCAGAAACTAAAGATGAAATAATGCTGCACACAGCCCCTCTTCAACTCCCATCTTTCTGTCTCATGCCAGAGGGCCTCAGAGGGCAGGCAGAGCTGTCCTGTTAACAGCAGCATTCTCAGAGCTGGCCCTCCTTAGTGGCTCTCAATTAAGATTTGTGGGATGGAAGCTGGACATGGTGGTATAGGCCTGTAATCCCAGCACTCAAGCTCAGCCTGGGCAACTTAGCGTCATGGCGAGATCCTGTTTCAAAATAAAGAATTGTAAAAAGGGCTGGGAGGTACCTCAGTGTGAAGGCCCTGGGGTCGATTCCCAGCCTCACCCTCCCCCTGTACACACACCCGCCCACGCTGGAGGCCAAAGCCAACCTCAGACTCGTCAGACACCCTGGCCACCACCATCTCTCCCAAACAGGCCGAATCTGCCCCAGCCCATGGCTGCCCACCTTGCTGGGCCCCAGCCACCCCGAGCCCTGACTTCAGTCTGCTGGCCTTGCTAGTGGGCAGGGCAAAGACAGGGACAAGGTGGCTTTGACATCCCCATTTAGACTCCAATCACCTAAACCCACACTGTCCAATACACAGTTTCATCAAGTGCTTGGAATACAGCCAAGCTGTGTGCTTCCTGCATGAAACACACACGAGATTTGGAAGACTGGGCATGAAACAGAATTTAGAGAATACAGATTTTTTTTTTTTTTTTTTGCAGTACTGAGAATTGAACTCAGTCCCCCTCCCCATTTTGAGACAGAGTCTCACCAACTCACTGAATTTCCCAGGCTGGGCTTGAACCTGCTATTCTGCTTCAGCTTCCCAGAGTTCTGGGATTACAGAAGCCATGCCAAGCCTCACTAATTTTTTGAATTGGCTACATGTTGAGATGACAGTATTTAGATGCAGTGGATTAAATATATTACAAAATGTTGTCACCTGTCCTTTTGTTATTATGTTTTTAATATAGTATTAGGAAATTTAGCAGCATGGAGGCGGTTTGAGCCCTGAGCAGGCGGCTTTTCGGCCTGTGGCCTGGCGCCACCTAGCGGTGAGCACAGGGAAGGTGGGCTCCGGGCCCCTACCGTTGACCACAATGGTGAGCAGGCAGTCAAAGAGAGGCTGTAACCGCTGGTGGCCGCTGGTGATGATCTTGTGGAACACCTGTGCAGGGAGAGAGAAGGAAGGGCAGCCGTGGGGTGGCCGTCGCCCCAGACTCAGCCAAGAGGACATGACCCCCACATCCCCTGCGGGCGCCCCTCACCACAATTAGCAGGTCGGCGTGGGTGCCTGTGAAGACTGGTATGTCCATGGGCACCCGCACGGAGTAGGGCTTATTCAGCCGCACCCCGAAGTTCCGCTCCCCGCTCAGAAGCAGCAGGATGAAGACACCAATGTGCATCAGGCCCACTCGAGCTGCAGCACAGGAAGCAGGGGGGGCCACGCAGGGTGAGGAGGAGGGGGACCCAGCATGGGGACTCATCTCGGGGGCTGCAGGGATTCCCTCCTGGGAGGCCAAACCACCAGGCCTGAGCTCCTGGGAGGGAGGACAGGCTGCCCAACACCCTGGTCTTACACTGATCTGCCCGGGCATCGTTGAGGAAGTACAGGATGGGGACCAGGATGTCCAGCACGTCACTGCTCTTCAGTACAAAGAAAAGGAATTTCTGGGAGCAGGGGAGGGGACAAGTGGGTGGGGTCAGCAGGAGGGCTGGCTCTGCCCCACCGTCTCCCCCAGACTAGGGAGACCCATCCTTGGACCACAAGGTCCAAGCTTCCCTTCCCTCCCCACCCCACCCCTTTATTTGTGCGTGTGGTTCTGGCAATAGAACCCAGCTCCTTTGCACTGAAGAACCACTTTTTATTTTTCATTTTGAGACAGTCTCACTATGTCACTAAATTGCCCAGGCCAGGCTCACATTTGTGCACCTCCTCCCTCAGACGCCGAGAGTACTAGGATTACAGGCATACAGCACCTCTCCCAGCCCAGCAGCTGCTTCTACGCGTCTCCTCTCCATCTGCACTGCCTGGTGCTGGCCCTGGAGGCTGCCCACCTTGTTGAAATCACAGAGCTTCCAGAAGAGAACCAGCAGCTCCTGGTGGAACTGGATCTTCTTGGTGGAATTGGGTAGGTAGGTCTGGAGCAGGGGGTTGGACAGCAGCCGGGCTATGCCCTTGAGGATGAACTGGAAGTCCTGGAAGGGAAGGCAGAGCCAGGGTCCATTCACCTGCTCGGCTCAGCTCCCGCTACCAGCCTAGGCCCCAACTCCTCCCCACTACCCCAGAGCCCAATCCCAGCTCTGAGCTTGAGGGGCTCAGACTCTGACATCATCAGGGGTTCCTAGGGTGACCCCCTCAGGCAGCTGAGCCCCCGGACCTTCAGCAGACCACAGGCTCCCCTGCCCATGGGCTGCCCACTTCCTTAGCGAGGCTGCTGCTCCTGGGACCCCAGGGCACTCCCTGAGCCGGGACCCTACCCACCTGGACTCACTGTTGACGGATGCCCCAAACACTCCTTCCATCACACCATCGCCTGTGGGAAACACTCCCCACCCCTCACAGAGCTGCCACTTACTGAGCACCCTGCACTCTGCGAGCTGGCTGCACTCTGCCTTCAGCCCTATGGTCCCATCCTCAGCTACAGGGGTCAGGCCTCTGGGGTCCAGCACCTCCCCTCGGATCTGCCTGGCCTCTGCGGCCACTGTCCACTCCTCCCCTCCACCCCTCAAACTTGACATCAGAGCCACCTTCTCCTAGAAGCCTTCCTGGTCACCTCATCCAGCTGAAACCACTGGTTCTTTCCACACATTAGAACCCTTGAAGTCCGTCATCACTGTTGCCCCGCAGGGGCCAGGACTCCGTCCACCCCGCCCCTGCAAAGCCTCGACAACTGTGGGGGGAGGCCCCCAGGGTCCAAGAGCGCACTTGACCCACCTCCTCCCGATGGATGCGGGACAGGTAGTTCACAAACAGGTTCTCAGGCCCCGGAGGCTGCCAAGGGTAAAAGCACATGGTGAGCAGCTGCCTCACCCTGGTCCCTCCCCACTCTGGCGGCAGCAACAGCATCTCTTCCAAGTCAGACACCCCAGCCACTCCCCGAGTGGCTCCTGAGTGTCCTGCTAATCGGATGCCACCGGCTCACAGCCCAGCAGGACAAAGCCCCCCACCCTGCCCTTACATCAGCATCATCCATGGCTGTGCCTGTCGTGGTGCCATCCACAGTGGGGCTGGTGCTGGTGGCACTGTCGTGGTCCAGGGTGACAATGAGGACCTGGGCAGCCTCCTCCACCAGCGGTTCCCGGTAGTCAGAGAAGAGCAGGTGGTTGTAGGGGATCCCGTAGCCCACGGGGTCATAGGCACACACGGTGTTGAGCAGGGAGGTGAAGAGGGGCAGTGCGTGTCTGCGGGGCAGGACAGGAGGACAGGAGGGAGGACTTGCAGGGTGCCACCTCTGGCCCAGCCCTCCTGCCACATGGGAGGGGCAGCCAAGCCACCTCCTCAAGTCAACCAGTGCCAGAGTCAGGCTCTGGACTGGGAGCCAGGAAGCGGACAGGACCCTTCTCATCCTCACCATGGCCTGGCCTGGCCTGACCTGGACCGGGCTAGCCCGAGGCAGAGGACTCCCTTACCAAGGGCACAATGGCCCGTCGCAAGGGGCTCTTGGCCAGAAGGCGTGTTCAGAACCCTGAAGTTCTTAGGGACAGATGCCCCCCATCAGGGCTTCAAGGAAGCATTGGAGGCCCAGAGAGAAGCAGCTTTCTCTCAGGGACAGAGCCTGGGCTCAATCACCCGGCTGCCAGGCCACAGAAGGACTTGAATCAGATTTGTAAGATCTCAGGGTTCAAGCTCCTCATCTTACAGGTGAGGAAACTGAGATGCAGAGAGGTTAAGCGAGTGACAGGGGATGGCAGTGTGCCTGATAAGACTGAAAAAGAAGACTCTGACCAGTCTTTGACTGGGGCTAGCAGTAGGGGTCACCTTGGGCTCCCTTCTCTTTTGTGGGAAGCAAACAGTTTGGGCCAGAAGCCCGCAAACCCAGAGGAGGAGGTATGCCATGCCATGGAGAAGTCAGAGGCAGGCACCAGGAGAGACAACCACCAGCCTTAGGGCACTGGGCCCTGTGGGCCAGCCTGGGTACAGTGAAACGTAAGTTCCTGCTCCACACAGTCGGTCCTGCACTCACAGGCACCCTAGGTGCCCCCACAGCCCACCAGTGTCCCCATGCAGACTTCCTCCATCAGGGTGTTTGTCACACACCTCCCTGCCCCCTGTCCACCAGGGCAGCCAAAGGCCACAAGCACTTGGAATGTGGCTGGTCTGAATTAAGTTTTGCTCAGAGTGTAAACCACACACTGAATTTTGAAAAAGTAGCATGAGAAAGGGAATGTTGAAAACAGCTCAATAATTTTGTATAATGATTATATATGAAGCGCTCATGTTTTGGATGAGGTATAGTTGAAAAATACAATGAATGCTTAAAATTTTAAAAATTTATTACAGTAAAAAATACATTGCCATTAATCCCCTCCACACACTTATCTCGTCATTCTGGCCACTTTCTGAAGCAGTTCCAGAAGTCCTCTTTCATGAGTGTCTCTAGTTGTACCATTGTGGCTGCCTCGATGTTCTGAATTGATTCAAAACGTTTACCTTTCATGGTCATTTTGATTTTGGGGAAGAGCCAGAAATCACACGGTGCCAGATCCGGTAAATAAGGTGGATGAGGACATACCGTAATGTTTTTACAAGCCTGCCTGTCTGCTGGATGGTATTCCACACAGGCATTCACCGAGGTTTTGATCACACCTCATAAAGACACAAAAGAGGGCTTCCAGAGCGGCTTCAGAAAGTGACAAGAACAATGGGCTCAGTGTGCTCACAATGAGGGGTAATATGTTGAGGAGTATTAATGACAATGTGTCTTACTGTTTTGCATTTTCTAATTTAAACATTCACCATAATTTTGACACAACTATGTTGGATTAAATGAAATCTTACTAAAATTAATTTTACCTGTTTCTACACTTTAATCTCAAAATACACATATGATTCACATTATATGTTTACTGAACAGCATGGCTGCAGAAAAGGGACCTGGGCAGGGGTCACCCAGGGACCCCAGTTCCTGGATCACAATGCCAAAGAGCCATTGGACAGGGCTTGTGCGAGGTGTGGCTAAATTATAGCTCATCACCACCAGGGGGCAGCATCCCTTCAATAAGCCTCAGAGCAGGCACCATCCCACCCAGCTCAAGGGAGCCTGGAACCAGAAGAGAAACGAAAGGGTGCCCCAGGCACCTCACCTGTTCTCCGTGGAACAAAAGAACTGAACCCACGGGTTGGAGCTGCCACTTTCAGGAGCTGGGGGCAGGTACATGGCCTCAGAGAAGCACGTCAGAAGCAGTTTCAGCAGCTCCATCCTGGGGACAGGTTGGTGAAGGAGGGTACTTAGAATCAGCACCTCCCGCCCAAGTCCACGAAAACAATCCCTCTTCATCTCTGCAGGGTGGAGGTTTGGTCACAGGAGGGCAGGGTCCCCCTCTGAGCTGGGCAGGAGCCCCGCCCGAGTCCAGCTAGGCCAGGGGCCCTGGGCCTGAGCCAAGCTCACCGGTTCATGTCGTGGATGTAGTTAGGCTGGGGGGAGTGAGCGAAGCCCACGCCAGCCTCCCAGATGTATTCACAGCTATCCAGGGAGTGGACATCCTCTGCTGAGTCCTGGGGACAGGGCCAGGGCAAGAGCAGGTGTGGGTGGCAAGGTGAGCAGTAGTGTGGACAGACCCCAGGCAAGCCAGGCCTCCCACTGGCCTCAAGGTCTCTGAAGACAGAGCCTCGGGATGCCCAGTCCTGGTGTCCAAGGGGTGAAGTGAATGTTCTCAGATCTCTTAAAAGCTCATTTTTCTTATATTGATTCTTTTACTGGCTCAGTCCAGTCCAACACAGGGAGAAAAGGAGGGAGGGAGAGGTGCAGACACATTTCCCTCAGTGGTGTTTGAGGCACAGAAAACGCAAAATCCACTCTGTGGGATCACAGAAGTGTGCAGCCCTGAAACTGCCTCCACTGGGCCAGAGAAGACAACGGCTGCCTGAGCACAGCCAGCTGAGGCAGCAGCAGGGTGGGCACCGCTGCCTCTGCTCCTGCAGTACCGCCACCACTCCCAGCCCGGGACACGTGTGCCAGGCAGCCCAGTTTTCCTGAGCACCCCAGCCCCACTGACTGCATCCTGCTCGGGGGAACTGCAACTGGCCTGGCCCCAACCCAGGCAAGGCACACCCGGCCAGGCTCACCACAGCACTCCTCCGGTGGCTCTGCACTGTGAAGTCTGGGCAGAAGAGCAGGTCCGAGATGGCCAGGAGCAGGGACTCAGCCAGGGGCCGGGCGTTCTCATCCTCCTCCTCACCCTGCCAAGGAAGCAGGATGCCTCAGTGGTAGCTGGCCAAGAAGAGGGGGTCCCAGAGCTTGAGGGTGTAAAGGACAGAGACTGGGTCCAGGCAGGCTCCCTGGGCACAGGGATGAAGGCAGAGGGAGTAGACTTCTGCAGGTCCCAAACCAACCAAAGAAAAAGGAGGCAGAGCAGGGAAAGGGCCAGGAACGGCAAGGAAACCTCTCCACGGACGGGGTGCCAGGCAGTGACCCCAGCCTCAGGAGCCCTTTTGGGAGTCCCTAGTCCTCACTCCTCCGCCTTGCCTGGAGGTACACCAGGAAAGAGAGAGAAGACAGCTGGCCTAACCCAGTCTGTACAGCCACCCGCTTCTCCCAGCATCCTCCTCAGCCACTTGGAGGCAGTGTGGACCCCCCATCCCTCAGCAGCACCTCCTGCTCCCCACCCCTGAGTTTCCCAAATGCCAGAAGAGGTCTGGAGAAGTGTGGCCCTGAAAGGGTGCGCACCCCGTCACCTCCCACCCACCCTGGCCATGCCTACAGACCCCTCCTCGCCCTGCCCCGGGCACTGTGGACCAGAAGAAGCCCCTCCAGTCAGGGTCCTCGAAGATGTAGGGCAGCACTCGTGTGAGCAGCCGGCTGCAGTTCAGAACAACCTGCTTTTCCTTCTCTGAGTGGCAGCCGCTCTCGGCTCCTTGCACCAGCTTCTCCACAGCCTGCGGGGACAAGGGGCAGCAGAGCATCACTGGACATGCAGGCTGAGGCACTGGTACTTGGGGTTAGGGGACACTCAGGCTGCAGAGAGGCAAAGGCAGGGCCACCGCTGCTGACAAAGTCAGCCGCCCCAGGGGACAGACCATCAGGCAAGCAGAGCCTTCAAGGCCCAAGATCCTGCAGGTGCCGACACTTCCCGAGCCTGAGCCTTAGTCTGCTCTGTAACGGCCACACTAACAATACCGCCTCCTGGGTGAGCAGAGGGCGTGCTCTGTGGAGAGTGCTCGGGAAGGCCTGGCATCCTCAGAAATGGTGGCCACCAAAGCAGGGAGAGACCAGGCAGGGCTCTGGGGGAAGACTCAGGACCATGGGGACCTGGGACTGCTGTGTCCTGGGTGCCTGTCCCCTCCCACCGTGGGCTGGCTTGGTCAGCTGTCCTGGAGAGTGGCAGTGGTAGCAAGGGTCAGGCACCCTCACCTTGTAGCACAAGGTGGCCAGGTTGGAGGGTGACTCCTCCCGCACAGCCCGGATCTCTGCTGCTGGCACCAGTGCGAAGACATCCTGCACGGTCGTGGCTGTGTCTGCCCAGAACTGGTCCCAAAAGGCATCATCGGTGGCTTCCACAGGCTGTGGGGGACCCAGAGTCCAGAGTTATATAACCTCGTGCCAATGGGGACACAGTTCACCCAACATGTGACCAGGAGAGACCCTGAGAATGAAGCCACAGCCCCCCTACTCCATTCCAGCTGGTGCCCAGGAGCCTCCCCACATAGGTGAGGAACATCCTTTAGCTGCCACCAGCCCTGCCCAGCAGTCATGCTTGGGACGCTCAGTGGGCATGGTCAGGGGTCAGCTGGGTGCTGAGTCCAGGAGCCAAAACCCCACCCAGTCCCTGAGGGCCTGCATGTCCCTGGCTGAGTCCCCATCATCCTCCTGCAGCACAGGCTGACCTGCCCGCCTGGGCACATTGGGTGACACCATTAGGGCCAAATGTACAGGACCCAGACCAAGACCCACTCTCTCCCCACAGAAGATGACAACAGGGACTCCAGTCCCCGAACCCTCTCCCTTCCCCGCCCCCCCATCAGCTTCTGCCTTCTCTCAGCATCTGCCAGACACCAAATCTGGCGAATTCAAGGATCAAAGCCACATGCTCCACCACTGGCCAATGCTGCAGTCCAGGTCACCCACCCAGGCTCCTGCCCCCAAATCTACCTCCCCCAGTCCCCTCAAACATGCACCAAAGCACAGGGCTAAGGTCACCACTGGCCACAAGGGCCTGCTGGAGCAAGTCTAAACCTTGGCCCAATTGCCAAGATCTTACTTAAACGTAGCTTACACATACACCCTACATACACACATGCACACATACATATATATTGGTATGACCAAGACGTGGTGAATGTTTAAATAAAAATTTATTACAGTAAAACACTCATTACCATCAATCCCCCTCAGCATACTCCCCCTCACTTCAAACACACCTATCCCATCATTCTTGTCACTTTCTGAAGCAGTTCTGGAAGTCCTCTTTCATGAGTGCCTTTACACATTTGCCTCAGTGTCCTGAATTGGTGTGTCCTCATCTACCTTATTCACCAGATCTGACCCCATGTGACTTCTGGCTCTTCCTCGAAGTCAAAATGGACATCAGGAGATGGCAGCCATGACAGCACAACTAGAGACACTCATGAAAGAAGATGTCTGGAACTGCTGCAGAAAGTGGCAAGGACAACGGGATAAGTGTGTTGGAAGCAAGAGGGAGTATTTTGAGGGCAGTTAATGGCAATGTGTCTTTTAGTGATACATTTTTATTTAAACATTCATTGTAGAGCTGGGTATGGTGGTACACACCTATAATCCCTATAGTCCCAGGAAGCTGAGGCAGGAGGACTGCTGAGAGTTCAATGGGCTACAGAGTGAATTCAAATCCAGCCCAAACTATATAGCAAGACCCTGTCTCAAAAAAACAAGCCAAACCAAACAAACAAAAACCCCATCCAGTGCCATTGAAGCAACATGCTTTAAAAACACGTATGCTTGGGCCAGGGATTTAGCTCAGTGGTTCTGCTGCCTGCCTCGCAAGCGCAAGGTCCGGAGTTCCATCCCCAATACCAAAAAAACACAAAACACGTATGCTCTTTGAATCACATGGACAGTCATATAAACAGCCAAGGCAACAAATTTAAATGATGAGTTTTACTTCTAGAAATTTCTCCTATGGAAATAATTAAAGATGCAGTATACAAGGATATTTATTGTTGATAACAGCTATTATTGATAACAATGAAAAGTTGAAATTTACTAACCAATAACTAGGGACTGCTTACGAAGCTAAATCACATCCATACAATGAAATATTATGCAACCATCAAAATCATATTTTCAATGAATATTAACAAACAGAAAATGTTCATGGTATAATGTTATGTTGAAAAAAATAAGATATAAAACTATCAGCTGGGCATAGTGGTACACAACCTATAATCCCATCACCCTGCAAGGCTGAGGCAGGGAGACTGCAAGCCCAGCGTGGGCAACTTAATGACTTAGAGAGACCTTGTCTCAAAATTAAAGAGTTGAGGACATAGTTCAGTGCAGAGACCCTGAGTTCAATCCCTAATACCACCAAAAAGAAAAAGAAAAAAAAGATATAGAACTACATATAGGATGATCACGATTTTGTGTTAAATTCTATATTAATAAAAGTAGAGGGCCGGGGATTTAGCTCAGTGGTTTTGCGCCTGCTACGCAAGCACAAGGACCCGAGTTCAATCCCCAGTACCAAAAAAAATAAAATAAAATAAAAGTAGAAGATGTACCAGGATATTAAAGCAACAACCTCTCCGGGTAAATGGGTTTGTTTGTGACAGGGTTTTGCTTTGTAGCACAGGCTGGCCTTGAACTCACTATATAGCCCAGACTGGCCTCAAACTCACTGCGATCTTCCTGCCTCAGCCTCTCGAGTGCTGGGATTACAGGTGTGCACCGCCACATTTGGCTCTGGGTAGTTTTATGTTTCCTGGTCAAGCACCTGTTTTATTTTTCCCCTTTGCATATTCATCTGTTGAGGGCCAGGGACTCTCTCAATCCCATTTCATCTGGCCTCCTTCTGAAGCTCACCTGTAAGATACTTCCTTGGCTTCTCCCATCAACAGAGCCTTTTCCTTTTTCTGCATTTAGAACTCACAAAGGCCTGACGGCCCTGCTACCAACACAGGTCTGCACTTCATACATATGGGCCTTATCATCAGGTAAAAAATGCATCTTGTATGAAAACAATAGTTCTGTTCTGGAAAAGCCTTCTTCCAAGAATTCTCCCAGAGCCCTACAAGGATGGGTCTGCTGCCCCCAGGCACCTCAGCCCCAGGCCCTGCTCATCCCAGCCCGCTGAGATCCACAGCTCTCGCCTGCCTCACAGTCTTCCTCTCTGGCCTTGCAGGTGCCCAATGCAGCAGGTGCTCAGCCAGTGTTTGTTTAGTGAAAGCTGGGAGACAGCCTGGAGACCCCTCCAGTCAGGGGCCCTAGGCAGGGTGAGCTGGAGGGAGCTGTCCAACCTCAGGACTGGGGCCGAGCACCTCACCAAGTTCCGGACAGATCCTACCCCACGCCCACCCCAGGGAGCTGCAGGGTAGCTTTTGCCCCCAGCCCTCAGGACAGGCCTGGCACACGTGTCAGTCCCAGAACTGGTAGAGCAAGTTAGCCTCTGGTAGAGGAACAAAGGCCAAAGGAGGAGCTAGAGCTGGGGTATGCTAGGCCTTGGCCACCCAGAAGCCCGCTGACCTGCAGTGGGGTGCAGGAGCATCACACTGCAGTCTGGGGTCCCCGGAAAACCACAGAGCTGCCCTCATCTGAGAGCACATCTGGGAAACTGCCACCTCTGACACTCTGCCCCCCTCCCAGGTAGCCACCGCCCAATTAAAGGGGCAGGAGCCTGGCCAAGCACCACGTGGACAGGAGCTCTGAGGGTCAGGGCTCTAGTTCATTGCCTGGGTGGGCTGAAGCAGGAAGACCACAGGCTCAAATTCAGCCTAACGTGGCCAGACCCTGTCTCAAAATAAAAACCAAAAAGAGCTGGGGATGTAGCTCAGTAATAGAGATCACTTGCCTAGCATGTTTAAGGCCCTGGGTCCAGTCTCAGTACTGGTGCATATACATATACATATACATATACATGATATAAAATATAATATAAATGAGCACAGAGACTCAAGAGCGACTAAGGAGACCCCAGGGCACCCCAGTCTGGAAAGAGAGGAAAGATCTCATCTGGAGCAAGACCTCTGCCCCCTCTTTCCTCACCATGAGCCCCTCTTCCTGGTCTCATTACAATTTAGACATTCACATTTGGTAACAATGTTGGGGGGCTGTTTTTCCTTTGAGATAAGGTCTTGCTACAGAGCTCAGCCTGGCCTCGAACTTGTGACTATCCTCCCGCCTCAGCCTCCCAAGGGCTACAATCCACCATGCTGGGCTGGTGACAATTTTTTACCACACTAGGCATTATCCAGGATCACTGGGACCCTTGAGGCTTCTGAGGACAGGGACATGGCCTAGTTCCTACCTCAGTGACCCCAGCTGACCTCCACCCAACCCAAAGAAGCTCTAAAATCCCAGCTAGTTTCTTTGAAGAGTATTTTTGCTCAGGCCTCTGCTGCTAAGGACACAGGACTGAGCCAGCCTGCTGGGAAACCATGTACTGTATTCTTAAACAAGTTGTGCCAGGCTCTTTCTCAAGCCAGACCCCTACTGAGGCCCAGGGTAGCTGCCATAGCTGACAGTCTCTTGTTGGGGTGGGGCAAGGCCAGCAGTGCTCTAGCCTGCTCTGGATGACCTGACCTGAGGACCATGTGACAAGCATTCATATGTGCACACATGTGGCATGCACTCACAGAATCTCGTTTGGCCTAAGAACCCCAGACAGGATTTGAAAGAGGGACAGTCTCCAGTCTTGGTATACTCCACCTCCCAACCCACTCTGGGAAAAGGTCAAGAAACACAGGCAGAACTGCTGGCCCTCAGGATCAGGGTCAGGCCCGGTCCAGGGCTTGATGAAGGGGCAGGAAGAAAACAGGATGCTGGGCAGGAAGTCAGGGAAGGCTGAGCAGCAGCAGTTCAGGCCTGGGCCACAGGAAAAAGTGCTGGGTCCACTTGTCTGCTGCCCAAAGCACAGTGTCTGGGGCCTGAAATCAGAGGTCATCCTGTGGACAACTGGCCTGAATCCCTTGGGGGCACTGAGTGGTAAATTCCAGGATGACAATGTAGAATCTGGTTCTTGGCCAAACCAGGTTACTACACAGGGCCCAAGGCTTCAGCCACTGAGGTCTCTTCCTCCAAGGCAGCCAGACCCCCTCCCACCTTCAGAATGCCAGGGCTCTCCAGGGGACCCAGGGTTCCAGCCACTGCAGGTCCTTGCACAAACCTCTCACTGTCCTCAGTTAAGAACCAGAACAGCCCCGTCTTATAGGGCTGCAGAGGGGGAAAGACAGAAGGACCCATATTGTAGCTGGAGAAGTAGGACTCTACACTACTGCAGACTCTTTGGCCCCTGGCGGGGCTCATCCTGCCAGGCTAGCAAAAGTCCCCAGCTGCTAATCCCACAGCACATTCCCCCACCAAGCTGTCTCTCCCAGGTAGGTAAACATGGGAGTCTCCCTGCTCCTCTCCCCACTGCCCCACATTGAGAGGTGGGCCCACAAGCCAGCACCTTCTCTGCCACCCACAGATCTAAAGCCCCATCCCAAAGCTCCAGAACTAGCCCGGAGCCATGAGAAATGGAGAGGAGCAGGTCTGGTTTGTATCAAGCTCCTCTTTGCTAGGGCTGGACTCTCCAGGGGCCCTGAGCACTTGCCAGCTACCCGACCTTTCCAGGGTGGGGATGAGACAGTGGGAGCAGAGTTCTTGCCTTGGGGCAGTGAGAGATGGCTTTCTGGATTCCCACTCTAACTGCTAAAAGCAAGAAAGACTCCCTGAGAGCATGGAGGGGGCGTCTCAGACAGTAATAGGCACTGAAATCCTTGAAAGCGAGGGACCTGAGGAATCAAGACAGGGCATCTATGCTGCCAGGGTGGCCTGGTTCAAGGAGCAAGGACAGCCGGGGTGGACAAGGAAGTGGCCTTACTGGGGACAAATTGTATGTGCTGGGGACAAGGAGGCAGCCTCTGTGCCACTTGTGGACTCAGGGAACAGTGAGCAAGCAGGGACCAGGCTGGAAGGGACCACCAGCTCCCCCCACACACACACCAGGGCCATCCTGAGCCGGACAGCAGAGGATACCGGCAAACACAGGCATACCCTCAGCAGGGCCCGGAGGAGGAGCCCCTGGAGCTGTCCCCAGCCGGGAACCGGGAGCTCTGTAGGCCAGCGGACAGATCCCCTTACCGGGCTGCCTTGCTGCCCGCCACTCTTTGATGTTCCCAAGAAGACCTGGGCCTCCCCCCGCCGGAGGCATCGACCCGGCCCCAGTGAGGCCGCCGTGGCCACGCACCAGCTGTTTTCCTGACCCAGGCGGGCGCTGGCCCGGCTTTGTTTGCATTGAGTCAGCCTGGGCCGTTCGTCCCGGACCCGTGGGCACCGAGAGGAGGGCGAGGAGCGCGGCCGGCGGAGGCTGGGTGGGCGCGGGGAGAGACTGGCGACGCGGAGCCGGGCGCGGGCGCGGGCGCGGGAGGAGGCCCACGTCAGCCGACGGTGGCGCGGCGGCTGCAGGGAGCGTGGTGCTCCCGGGAGAGGGGGCAGGGGTGGGAAGCGGGGCCGCGGATGGAGCCCCGGGGTGCAGGCGGGAGACCCCGCTCGGGCTCCGGCCCAGCGTCGCCCCAGCGGCCGGGGAGCCAGGTTCGCGCAGCCCCCGCCCCGCCCAGGCCCCAGCCCGGCAGGTGGATGGGGAGGCTGGGGCCCGGGTCGCACCTGCGTCTTGGTAGTCAGCTGGATCACCGCCTTCCGGAAGTTCAGCTTGGAGTCTGCGGACCCCATATCGCTGGAGCCCGCTCCGGCCCGGACCCCGCTCCGACTTTGGCCCGGGCTCCAGCTCCGCGGTCCCCGCTGCTCTTCCCCGAGCACCGCTGTGCGCCCCGCCCGCAGCCCGGCGCCCGCCCCGCCCTCACTTAGCTCCGCCCACCAGTCCCCGCCCCCTCTCGGCCCCGCCCCCCGCACCTGCCGCTCTGGCAGCTGGGCGCGCTGGGTCCGCCAGGCGGCCCATCTTTCTCCCCGGGCCTCCGGGCCCTTCCTCTGGGTGCCGGAGTGCTCCCCGCTCCGTCTCCCCACTCCCACCCGGTCCCCAGGACCCGAAGCCCTCCAAGCATCTCGCCTTCATCCCGCTTCTCAGCCAGCCCTCTCCACCTGAGTGTCCTCCTGATCAATGTCTTCCCCATTGTATTTGTTTTCCCCCTGAGCATTTGTTCTCCTGGTTCCCCTTTTCCTCACCGTGGGCCTGGCCCCCTGGCTTCCCTGAGAATCCTTTGAGGTCCACCCGTTTCAGCATGTGTGTTGAGGGACTGGAATGTATCAATATTGTGTCACAGGGACACAAGGAACATAAATCACACAGCCTGCTCTTATGCGACAGTGACTGGAGGAGAAACCAGGAGATACCCATGGTGCAGCTGAACAGGACTATGATAGGGACAATTTAATAATAATAATAATAAGGTGATGATGATGTTCTCTCTGGCAACAAATATCTACCTCTGAAGTAGATATTATCACACCTATTTTGCACTTGGGGAAAACGAGGCTGAGAGCAGTTTGTGTATTTGCCCAAGGCCATACAGCTAAGAAAGCAGTCCAGAAAAGCAAACCAAGTCCAGCTCTAAAAGAGGCCACAGCATCTTTTTTTTTTTTTTTTTTTTCTAGACAGGGTCTCACTGTGTAGTTCAGGCTGGCCTCAAACTCCTCACAGTCCTCCTGCCTCAGCCTCCTGAGTGCTGGGATTATAGGCGTGTGCCACCATGCCCGCCCACAACATCATCCACAGTGTGCCTGGTCTAGAGATCCTGGATGCTTCAAAAGGAGGTGACATTTAGCTAAACCAGGAATCCCACAGGAGAAAACTGAGGAGTGCACCACCAAGGTAGCATTGGTGTGTCCCCAAGGCAGAGTGAGGCAGGAGCAGTGGGGGGAAGCAAGGATGTCACCATTTCACCATCAAGCAGACCGACAGGGCACAAGCATAGGATAGCTCCCTCCTTCCTCCTTGGTAGGTTCTATCACTTTCTTATCACTGTGAAATAATGAATGAATAGTTCCTTTATTTGACACTTTTAAAAATCTAGTCCAGGGCCAGGGATTTAGCTCAGTAGCACCAAGCCTGCTTTGCAAGCTCAAGGTCCTGAGTTTGATACCCAGTACCCCCCCCCCCAAAAAAAATCTAGTCCAGGGCCAGGGACTTAGCTCAGTGGTTCTGCTGCCTGCCTCTCAAGGTCAAGGACCCAAGTTTGATCTCCGGTATTAAAAAAAAAAAAATCTAGTCCATTCTACAAATCACTCAACCCTAGTTCAAGCCAGAGTGGCATTAAAAACTGTGATCCTTGGGGCTGGGGATATAGTTCAGTGGCCTAGCATCCATGAGCCTCAGTGCCACAAATAAAAACAAGCAAAATCAAAAGCCACTCCTCTGAATCATAATCATTACAGAAATGCAAATAGAAACCACAATAAAATAACATGACATTGCTGTTAGAATGACAAAAAGCTGACAATAGCAAATGAGAGGAGGATAAGGAGCAATTGAAGCTTTCTCATACACCACTAGTGGGAATGCAAAATGGATATACTACTTTGGAAAAGAGCCTGGCAGTTTCTTCAAAAGTTAAATATACAATTACTATATGATTCCATAATCCCACTTAGGTATTTACCTAAGAGAAACGAAGACATAGATCCACTAAAAAAAACCTGTAGGCACCCAGAGTAGCGGCACTTGCCTGTAGTGCCACACTTGAGAGGCTGAGGCAGGAGGCTCAGATCGTGAATTTGAGGCCAGCCTTGGGAACCTAGTGAGACCCTGTTTCAAAAAGGAAAACACAGGAGGAAAAAAAAAACACCTCTAGGTAAATGTTTGCAGCCATTTCATATTTTACCACCAAAAGCTGGAAACAACAAAATGGCCATCAACTGGGAAACAAAGAAGCAAATTGTGGTTCATCAATAATGAGACTAGTACACAGGAACAAAAAGGAACAAGCTACTGATACACAGAGCAGCAATGTGGGTGGATCTCGAAAGCACTGTGCTGAGTTCAAGAAGCCAGACACAAAAAGCAATGTGCTAAAGTATCATTTATATGACATTCTGGAAAAGGCAAAACCATAGGGACCGAAAAGAGATCAGTCATTACCAAGGGCTAGGAGTGAGATAAGGAGAATAAAATGGGAATGAGCAGACTTTTGGGGTGATGAAAACTTTCTACTTGTCAAAATTCATAAAACTATATGGCCCCAAATGGTGAGTTTTACATATAAGTTGTACCTCAACAAACCTGGTTTTAGAAAAGAAGAACAAAAAAGAATCAAAAGTGGGTGCCAACTAACATTCCAGCTATGGGCCAGGGATTTAGCTCAGTGGTTTCACACCCTGCTGCCCAAGCGCAAGGACCCAAGTTCGATCCCCGGTACCAAAAAAAAAAGGGCCGGGGATTTAGCTCAGTGGTTCCAGCGCCTGCCTTGCAAGCACAAGTTTCCAAGTTCGATCGCCGGTACCAAAAAAAAAAACAAACAAATTTAAAACACTCTAGCTATGACTGTGAGCCTTGCCCACCACCCAACACAATTTCTTTGGTTTGCAACCAGGGACTCCAAGTGAAACCCAAGTTTTGCTGGTTTTCCCAGGTACCTCAGTCCTCATGCCAGCCTTTGTGAGTGGATTTCGATGAGCCTAGCCGCACCTAACCTGTGGAGGTCTTCTCCCCCTCGGCCTGGGGGTCCATCCTCAGGACTCTTACACGGTCCCCACAGGCATGGAAAACACATGAACATTGTCCTGAGGAATTGGACCTCACACGTATGTCAGTAGGAAAATACCCATTTATTCCCATCGTTTGTTTGGGTTCTCTAGGTTAAACTTCACATCCTCCTTCACTCCACCACCAATCATGGTTTCTTAAAATATAGTTTTCTAGTGAAGCATAGTAAAGGGGGTAGTAGTGAATGGTCTAGTTACTAGGATTTGCTTTAAAAATAATGCAGCAAGGGCCGCGGATTTAGCTCAGTGGTTCTGCCGCCTGTCCTGTAAGCACAAGGACCGAGTTCAATCCCCCGTACAAAAAAAAAAAATGCACCAAGGCTGAGAATGTAACTCAGAGGTTGAGCACCATGCTTAGCATGCACAAGGTCCTGGGTTTAATTCCTAGGACCAAAACAAACAAACATGGAAAAACTCCAGCAAGAAAGTAACTTGTGCCACTGGGTATGGTGGCACACGTCTAATCCCAGCACTTGGGAGACTGAGGCAGGAGGATTTTACGTTTGAGATCAGCCTAAGCTACTCACATAGTGAACTTGAGGTTGGCCTATACAATGTAGTGAGACCTTATCTCAAAAAATAATAATAATTTGTTTCCCTATTCTCTTTACTTTTGTGTATGTGTGGTGAAAACTGTTTTAGTAAATTTTTTAAAGTCTGGTTGCATACGTAGAAAAATGTTAGCAGGAAGTAAAAACAGACCTTTTGAATGTTTAAAGAAGTTAGTTATGGTCAGAAGTGGTGGCACACACCTATAGTCCCAGGACTCAAGAGGTTGAGGCAGGAGGATTGTTGAAAGTTTGAGGCCAGCCTGAGCAACATAGTGAGTTCAAGGCCAGGAAGAAGAAGGAGGAGGAGGAGGAGGAGGAGGAGGAGGAGGAGGGGGAAGTTAGTTATGCCTTATCAAATTGACGATTCCCCTAGCAGATTCTTAGCTATGATTTCCCCCATCAGAAACCTTGCCACATCTTCCTTTCCTGTCCAGTATGGAAGGAAGACTCTCTGGCTTATGGTTCCCATGGCCCTTCCTGCATCCCTTTTCTGAGTTTAGTCATCAGTTATCCAACATACATTCCCTCAGTACTGGCTAAGTGACAGGTACAGTTCAAGATTCTTGGCTCTAAGCCAAAAAGGCAAGTTCCTACTACCAAGGGAGAGACCCTGGACAATAATACAGGTCCAAGACAGTTACAAGGGTGAGAGTGGACATCTTTCCACAGCCCTGGTAGAAACAGGTAAAGACAGTCTGAAGAGGCCAGGCTCATGTTTGGAGGATAACTGAGTAGGTATGTCTCAACAGGCAAGGGATAGAACAGCAGACAGAGTAACTGAAGAGAGTTACTCAAGGGACCATTCACTATGAAGCACTCTGGGGCTAGTAGCCTTAGCCATCATGTACTGAAGAGCAATGGGAAGGAATGACTGCCAGAGCCCAGAGAAAGAAAGCCTCCCATAGGAGAGGTTCAACAGGAGCTGTGGGCTCCCACGTCCGGAAGGGAGGAGATGGGGAATAGACCCCCACCTTCACTCCTCTCCGGCCTCCAATTCCCTGCCCATCAGGTGGACCCACAGAAAGCACAAGAGCAATGGAGTCCACTGATGGGGCCCATAACATCTCAGCCTACAGGGCGTGGAGCAAAGTGCAGGAGAGGGAAAGAGATCTTCATGGGCAAAGGGAAATTTCCAGTCTCCAGTTATTCGAAGAAGCAAGCAGAGGGAAGGCTCAGGGGTACAGAGAGCCTGGCACATCTGGGGAACAGAAACACCTGCTTGGGGTAAGATGTAGAGTGACAGGAGATAAAGTTTGAGACATGGGCCAGGAGTAGGCCATAAAGGGCTACATCCAACCTGATAAGGAGCTTTACTCTTATTCTCTGAACAATAAAAAAAAAGCCTTTGAAGCAGAAAAATGGTGTCATCAGATGGCATTGGGTGTTAGCGAATCATTTTGGCTGTGGCAGGAGAGACAAAGTGACCTGGATGTAGAAAAAGCAGCTGGGACATGAGAGTTGATGAGGACTGAACCAAGGTGATCACAGGGCATGGGGAGGAAGAATGCAGATGGAATCCTGGAACATGGTGGCCAATCTGATGTGTCCTAGATGCCAAACCTTATGTATCTTAATATGTTCT